ACCCTTCTCCGGGTGGGGCCCGCGCCCCAGCGCCCCCTGCCGCCACGCCCTCCATCTGCAACCTCCGAGGCGTCCATCAGGCCCGCCCCGTCGTGACTCAGTTTCCCCAGAGGTTCCGGAACTGGATTCCCCCAGCCCACCCTCTGCCCGCCTTCCGCTTTCCTGCCGGCCTCCAAGCCCCTAAGCACTTGGCCGATCTGCTCCTGGGACGACCCCGCGATCCCGCCCAGCAGCCCCGTCCTGGCCAGGTGAGGCCCCAGGTGAGGTCCGCGCGGCTTGTGGCACCTGGCAGGGTATGGGAGCCCTGTACAGGCTGGGCGGGTCCAACTGACCCTGCCCTGCTGTGAGTGTGGGGGGTCGCTGTGGGCAATGCCAGCAGCCAGGTGTTGGGTATGTCTGTCCTCTGTCTGTGGCTGGAGTGTGGCTTTTGTCCCCTGCATTCGGCGGGAGGGAGGGCGGTCAGGGCTGAACCTGAGTTTCCAGTTTCCCTTAGTCTGGGAGAGGCCAGTGGGGTCCCGAAGGTCACTTGGCCATAAGTGGGGTCTGGACCTGGGCTGTGTGTTTGTGGGTCTCCATGCGTTTGTGCCCGACAGTCTGTGTTCTGTGTGTGTCTGTCTTTGTGTGCTGCTGCTGCTCATCTGATTGGCTGTGTGTGTGTGTGTGTGTGTCCCTGTAACTGTGTAACCCTTATAACGGATCACCATTAACCACCAGCCACATGGCCTGAGTCCCCTCCCTGGCCCCACACCCAGTGCTCAGGCCTATGCTGTGGTCCCAGTGCACACACTCATTGCACAGATGAGGGGACTGGCCCAGAGGGGGCCACATGCTCCGGGGTGCCCAGGCTGCGAAGCCATCTGCACCCTGTGGGCTGGGGGAGCCATTGGTGTCATAAACAGGAAGAGTTCCGAGAAATGAAGCCTTGTGGTGAGGCAGGCACATGCAGGTGTGTGTGCATCCATACAGTAAGTGATCCCAATCCACAGGCCCCGGTGCGGAGGCTCCCACCCTGTCCATAGGAGCAGGAAGGGTACCCAGGCCAGGGCACTGCTCCGAGGGGTCAGCAGGCAGTGGGTGCCCTTCCCCCACTTCACAGAGAGGACACTGGTGTGGCAGGGCCCATCCCCCTGATCAGTGTGGCAGATTGGGGACTCAAGAGGGAGGCCCGCGTTGCCCCTTGGGGCCAGGCTGCAGGGCAGGCCAAGGCGGGGTGTTGAGTGGGCTGGCCATACGCCCTGCACACTGTGGCCAAGCAGTGGCCTGGGAACCGATCAGCCCATTCCAAGCACCGTCCAGCCTGGTGGCACCTGGCCCTGGGCCCAGTGTGGGGCACCCCACCCAGATTGCCATGAAAGTTCCAGAAGCTCAAACCCTTGGCGTTCTAGAATCTGAGGCCTTCGGGATTCAAGAAATCAGGGCTAATTACAATTCCAGAACCCTGGATGCTCTGAGTTCAAACCTCCCTGCTCTCAGGCTCAGGGATTCTTTTTGTTCTGTTTTGTTTTGTTTTGTTTTTGGAGACAGGGACTTGCTATGTAGTTCAGGCTGACCTGAACTCACTGTGTTGCCCATGCTATCCTCGAACTCACAGCGATCCTCCTGCCTCAGCCTCCCGAGTGCTGGGATTACCGGTGGGCACCACCATGCCCCATTAGGTTTAGGATTCTATTTTTCCAGGACTATTGGGAGAAGCTGAAATCCTTGCCTCCTATGAGGCACAGAGAGGGAAATCATTCCTCCAAGGACACACAGGGTTGCTTGTGAGAACTCTATCGTCCTTTGCAGCCAATGTAGGACCCTGATGCCAGGTCCCCCTGCTGGCCTGGCTACCTGGGAGAACTTGAGATGGCCACTAATACCTGAGCACTAGTAGGGAGGGGTTGTGAGGGACTGGAAACTGCCAGCTGTGGCCAAAGGGACTTGGTGCCATTTTCCAGTCTCCCCATAGCCAAGGGCTCTGGGTAACAGGCTCAGTCCCAGACACTGGCGGTGTGTGTCCCTGGGGCCTGCCAGACTCATGCACTGGAGTGGGGGTCAAGTGAACCCAGAGAGCCAGAGAGGGCTTGGCAGGCACTGCAAGCAGAAGCTGGGGCTGGGGGCAGTGGCCAAAGGCACAGCCCAAGTCCCGGGAATGTTTAGAAACAGCATACCAGCTCTCGGAGGGAGGGAGCACCCCATCCCAGGGGAAATCCAAGTCTGAGGTCACAGAGAGCAAGCTCTGCCCTGGGGCCCAGGGTTAACATC